GTCCTCCACCGCCCAATGGGGTACTCAAGTATATTTTTAATGCCGTACCAATAGGCATTAACCTTAGGTAAGCTTGTGCTTACTTTGGACTGTACCCTCCTCATCCTCTGGGGGAGGTAGAGGGGGGNCATGGCCTCTATTTTTCAGGGGGGGTTCGGGTACTGGTTGGGGGTCGGGTCTATGTGTTTCAGAGCCAGGGGGGAGGGCTATTTACGGACACAACCGTTGGCGTTGGCAACGTCCTCCCTAGGTCGAAAAATGGCAAAAATATCTGCAGCAGCCCTTTGTACGGCCGGGGGGGGCAACATGGACTGAAGGAAACGTTATTGGGAACGAGGGCGCTTCATGACCACCCAGGGAATAAAACAACCGTGTGTGCAAAACAAGAAATCAACTCGTGCAGTCGCCTTTGGGCGGTCTGGTGTTGACTTCAATACCATCACCTCCCCAATGATAGACAAACGATAGAACGCTATCAAGACCGCGGGCTTTCCTGACGGCGTGTGTGACATGCAGACGAGTACGAGCGCGATGTACACCCCACAACCAGAGGGTAACCTACAAAGAGCGGCAGGGCGAACGTTTGTGTGTGAGCGCTGTCAGAACCATTCGAAGCGTTGGTAGATGCCATGGAGCGTGTTTTGCATCGTGTCCGGAGATGTCGGCAGCTTGTGGCGGCCTGAGAGAGATTCGCGGTTTGTCTCTGATCTAATCTGAACCTCGCTGTATTAGTCTAGACGCGAGATGGGCGTGACCCCCTTTGCACCCTCTGGGACGGCTGAATCCTCCTCGCGATGAAACGCTAGCCAAGCACCCCCAGAGCTGTTGCTCCCCCCTAAGCATGAGACCGCGCGACTTCCCGCCGCCGCGCTTCCTCGTGGCCGCTGGCGGCATGGCCACCGCGGCGGGCGTGTTAGTTGGCAACGACGTCGCCAGCGTATCCGCTGAGCTACTCCGGAGAAGTGAGGCGGAGCCAGAAAAAATCCCTTTTGTGTGGCCCTCCTCCTGTGTGACCCCGGCTGATGGTGCCTCCAGTAATTGTACCGCACGGTGTGAAGACAGTGCCGTATCGCTGGGAACAACCCTTCAGAAATTGTGATTCGGTAGAGAAAGGATATTTGCTCTGAATTGGAAGCCGGGGCTCGAACATGAACCTACAAGTACCCGACGGCGCTATTGCGGCGCAACAACAACGGCACAATGATATGCATGACAATGCAGGCACTGCTGTAGTCTCAGTCTCCCAGAGGGTTGTTAAAGCAGCATTTGGCCACTCTGCACCCACCCTTGTCGGACTCGGTCAAACCGAGAGTATCCTTGATGCCTTGTTTGGTACTGTAGGTGAGGGGGAGGGAGATAGAGAGACATCGAGACATCGACAGACAGACAGACAGACAGAGGAAGGCGAGCCAAACACCAACCGCGGGGCCCCTTTACATTTATCGCTTGTTCTGCTGCTTTCACAGCTGTCCACCTCCTGCCTCTTCTTTGGACGGAGAGGAGGGCGGTCCTGGGTTCTCGGCAGTTTCTACAAGGAGACGAGAGAGAGAGGTCCCACCTGTGCGTGTGCGGTGCTGCGCAATGCATCTGTATGGACGAACGCCTATCACCTTCAATGAGCAGACCCTCGCCGCCATACGGAAGGTCTTCTCGCCCGGACCGTTGCCGCTGTTAGCTGGATATGGACTGGAAGCGCCCACCTCTGCTGCTGCTGTACCTCGCGCATCAGAGGCGTCGCGGAGTGAACGCGGGAGATCAAGGGCGGCGAGAAGAGCTGCTGTTCTCCTCCCTCTGTGAGCGTGTGGTGGGGTTCTGCAACCCTCCACTACAGCCAGGGATACCAAGAATGTCAAGATGCTTTGCGTGCGGCGTAACCTTCACGTTTTGAATTTTTTGTGAGCCGTGCTTGGTCAGTTTGGACATCATCACGTCCTCCTACTGACGCCCGCTGAGCCAACATACGCCTTACTTGTACGTGTACCTGTTGGCAAGAGGGTCCCGCTGTTCGGCTGAGAGTTTCTCGAGCACTACAGCGGTCACCGGGGAGAACGACGAAGCGCTGCTACTTACGTAATTTGAATGTGGGATGCGGCGAGATTTTTTTTCGGGCTGCGACGCGGCCGAGCGCACGCTGCAGGTTGTCGCGTAAGAGTCATGCCCTCACGTGTGTGTTTTTATTATTAGCATCGACCGCGCTAACCGGCTGACCAATGAAAAGACGTCAGTCTTAGTGCGGTTGAAAACACAAATACTTCTATCTACCATGAACTGGGACCCCGTGAGGGAGTGTGTGTGTGTGTGTGTTTTCGTCCTATTCATTATGGCGACACTCCCCCCATTTTTCGTGGTGAGACCTGTACTACACTCTTTCAGCGTATGTAGGGTACTACACTTTTCAGTGTATTTTTCGTACAACTACAACCATCCAGGGTCACGCAGGAGGGGGTAAACATCAGGGCTTTTTTCTTCTTTTTATTTCTTTTCATTCCCCACCTTCCTCCTGCGGTGCGTGCTGAATTATATTTTTATCGCGAGAAAGGTCCACCCGTCCCTTTCCCTCGTCAACGTTGCTATCGCCGAAGTTTGGTACTCACAAGAGCTTGTCAGCGATATTTCGCTTCCACCCGCATATTTCATATATTTTTCACCCCATGGGGAATCGAACCCACGACCTCTGCAACTAGCGGATTACGAGGATACCACTAGACCACCGGGGCGACCGGGGTACACCAGGTAGAGAGAATGCGTAGCGAGAGGATCAGGCGGGCCTGTGGCATTTTCGGGTCGATCGTGGAATCCCCCCAGGCGCAGATCCCCGGGAGACGGCATGAGGGTGGAGGAGATACTACAGCGGTAAATACATGTATTGTGGTTGATCGCTTCACTGCCAAGAGTAGGATGGCATGCTCTCTGTCCCGCACGCTTCGATGTCGCATGATATGCTGCTCACAAGAGCTCCATTGTTCATGCCCGGACTTATGATGGATGGGTGCCTCGCGAGAGACGTTATGTTAATCACCCCCGCGCACCCTCTCCGGCACACCTGCGATAACATGTGCAACCTCCGCAATCTCCGCCTTGCGTACGTCCTCGTGTACACCACAGGTGCAATCGCCATGGGGTTGCGAGCCTTCTTTTCACCGTTCGATCCAGCAAAGTCTCAACCCACAAAGGGCAGGTGCGACCAACCGACTAAATACCAAGGACACCAACCCAAAGCACCGCCCATCGTTGGCTTCCAGTCTACATTCTGTGTCTTGTTGCGAGGTGTCTCTGCTTGCCCAATCTCAAGCCTCCCAGCATATACTTTCTGTCCTTTCGCGACAAAACCTGCCACCTTTCGTGTTCTGGTGTTTCTAATTGTTGAATATGTGACGTGCTGTTGTACCCTACCTAGCATTAACACCAAAACATGGGGGTAGCAGTAGTTTCGTGCTGGGCCCTGCCGGGGGTACCTAAGCGTACCATAGCAGTATTTGTGTTGGTCCGGTGTGAGGGTGAGAGGTGGCAACGACCAACCAACGCGATTGATTTGCTCGACGCACACACGGGGATGGATCTCAGGTTTCCTTTCCGGGAGGGCATTTGGAGCCCGGTGAAGATGCGGTCGAGGCGGCGCTCCGGGAGACGCGAGAAGAGATTGGGGACAGCCTAGGAAGGATCGACGTTCTGGGCACTTGCCAGACGCTACCAGCAAGTAAGTGCGTGTTAGGACTCTCCCATCACTCCCCGCTTCCCTTTCGCGTACCTTTATCGGGTTTCCCAAGCTCTCGCTGCATGTCTACTGCGGTGCATTGATGTAGCTAATGTTTCTGGAGAGATTGCTTTCCGTTGAACGAATTGGTTGCAACACACGGCGGACAATGGTGGGGGAACTACCGGGCGTGGTTAGGCGCTATGGTTGTATGATGCGTCAAAACGAGCGCACAACTCGTTCGCTGTGCGGGCGGCTGGTGCGCCACGCGACGTGCAGCAGCCGACTTTACCTACACGGCTGTGGCGGAAAGCATGTTTTGGGTTATCGACACGACATCGACGAAGCTCCAGTGTAATCCCTCCGCCCCGTCTCTTCCAGTGGTCGTGCCCCTTCCCGCCCCCGCCCTTGCCGTGCATGTTTTTGACGCTGCTGTTGAGGGCGACTCCTTGTACTGTCTTACGATCTACCTCGTCCGGACAACCCAGCGTCTGTCTGACCCAACGGCCGAATCGAGCAATCAGCTTGTTCCACGAAGAGTTTGAAGGTTGCGTTTGCGCGAGGAGAAACCTACTGATGATGGTGTTGTTCTCCGACCCGTCGGTGTTACGGCCTATCGCTCATCCCTCCTCCAGTAACGGGTACGCCGGTGACCCCCGTTGTAGCGTTCGTGCGACGAGACGTCGGTCCCCTTCTGCCCAATTTGGTGCTGAGTCCGGACGAGGTATGTACATGTGCATGGGATAGAGAATATGGATCACGGGTAGTGCTATCATGAGAAAATGTGCGACAACCGGTCTCGCCGATTGGGTTGCGGTCGCCATGCACGCTGTGTCATACGTACCTATCATCATACGCCTTGATTGTATTGTGCGGCAGCAGCAGCAGCAGCAGCAGCAGCAGCCGGTTGGCTTCGCATCTGTACCTCAACCCCATCAAGCAAATTGCGAACACCCTGACCGAGCTACCGAAAACCAATCGTGTCGTCGGTGGACCGAGGTGTCATTTTACGGTACTACCCTTTGCGAAACCACCTTCAAGTGTCATGCTTTCTAGCCCTGCTCAAACCGTATGCTTTCGGGACATGGCCAGCACAGCAGCGCTGTGATCCGCAACCTATTACCTTTTTCTCGGACGGACTCTCAAAAAAATTTTCACCGCGCCAGCGTTGTTTTCGTGTGCACACTCAACCGCTTTTACGTGCCGACGACAAAAAATTCACCTAACGACTCTGGGTGGCGATTGAATATATTGACAGGTGGAGAGTGTGTTTACCCTGTCCCTGAGCGAGCTCCTAGACCCGTCGTTACGCACGATGGATGACCTGTGCGGGCGAGGGCAACTCCCGGCTTTCACCGCGGGGCCTCAACGCGTGTGGGGGCTGACCGCGGCCATCACCGACGGCGTGCTTCGAAACGGCATCGTCCCGCTGCTGCAGCAGCAGCGTCAAGAAGGAGACGGCAGCAGCAACAGCCGCAGCGGTAGCAACAACAGCAGGAGCAGCAGCAGCAGCAGCAGCAACAACAGTAGCAGCAGCAGTAGCAGTAGCAGTGTTGGTGATCATGATCGCGTTCCGGGGGATAGAGACGGCATTGAGAAGGAGGGCCCTAGACATTGGTCGCTCTGACTTAGCCAATAAGCTAAGGGCGCGTTTGGACGGAGGGGATTATTATTGATCCTTTTTTTTTTTGGGTTGTGGCCCCAAATATGAATGTCGTCGTGGAACACCGGTCGTTCGTGGTCTGAAACCGCGAACAGCCTGTGTGTGTAGCATTTTCCTGCCTGTGGCCGGTCGCTCTGCTATCGCCACTTACTTCAGGGACTCTGGCTCGGTAGAGAGAAACGATATCAGCGCGGCTCGGAACATGAACCTTCGCACTTCGGATGGCGCTATCGCGGCGCAACAAAACAACGGCACAATGATGGCAATTAGAACTGTAAGTCTCAGTCTCCCAGAGGATTGAAAAAGCAGCATTTGGCCACTCCACACCGCTCTTGTCGTACTGGGACAAATTGAGAGTATCCTCGATGCCTCCCTTGGTACGGCGGTAGTAAGAGGGCGGGAGGGAGGGGGAGGGAGACAGAGAGACGGCGAGCCCAACACCAACCGCCGGGCCCCTTTCCATTTTCGCGACTGCTGGTGTATTTCACGTGTTCATCCTCTTCTTCATACGGAGGGAGGGCGGTTCTGGCAGTTTCTATGAAAGAAAGAAACGAGGGAGAGGTCCCACCTGCGCGTGTGCGGTGCTCCGCAATGCATCTGCGTGGGCGAGCGCCTTTCACGTTCGATGAACAAAACCTCGCTGCCATGCGGAAGGTCTTCTCCCCCGGACCGTTGCCGCTGTTGACTGGATATAGACTGGAAGCGTTCACCTCTGCTGCTGCTTACGCATCAGAAATTTGGCGGAGTGAACGCGGGAGGGGGAGATCAAGGGCGCCAAGAAGAGCTGCCGTTCTCGTCCTTCTGTGAGTGTGTGGTGTGTTGTGCAACCCTCCCCTACAGCGGGGATGTCAAGATTGTCAAGATGCTGTGCATGCGGCGCAACCTGTCACGGTTTGAATTTGTGAGCCGTGCGTGGTCAGTTTGAAGCTCGCGTTCCTGCCACTGACGCCCGCTGAGCCGACATACGCCTAACACATACGTGCAACAGTTGGTAAGAGGGCCCCGCTGTTTGGCTGAGAGCTTCTCGAGCACTACAGCAGTCACCGAGGAGAACGACAAAGCATTACTACTTCAGTATTTTTGAGTTGGGTAGGATGCGGAGAGAATTGTTTTTCAGTAGGCGACGTGCCGAGGCAGCGATACTTCCTCTGTCACATAAGTAAAGTCCGTTATGATTACACGCCCATTTAGCCGTGTCCGATGTCTTAGGACCGTTTTAAACGGACCGACTTCTTTGTCAAAATTTCCGACATTTGTCTTTCAAAAACTTGGAACCTGTGTGCAGTCATTTTAAACGTGTGACGTAGACTTGTGCAACTTGTGTAAAAAAAAATGACGCCGTCCGTGAGTTGTAGCGCTCACTTCGAGACAACACAGACGACACAACACAAACCGCGGAAAACACGACATCATGGACACCGACATGGATATCACGACCACCCAGCGTGGCCGGCAGACCAAAACCCCGGCGAAATT